TCAGAGTCATTGATAGTTCAGTAGGCTAGTCAGCAAATGGACGATTTGCACTTATTAATGATTTTTTGAGAAATAACACCAGTTTTTTTGTAGTTGCGTGTATGTACCCATTAAAAAAGTTACTGTTTTTGCTATAAGAAAATAATTTTAGATAATTTTCTTAACGTCATGTGTAATCGTTATGAGTGAGACAGGTAAGCATTTTTCTCAAGTAGTGGAGTACTGGCAGGTTTACCCAATCGATAAAGCAGGGGAGTTGCGCATATCATTTAGACCTTATAAGAGATGAACACAGAAATTTATTTTACCTTATTGTAATAAATTTTTGCTACTTAAATTTAGGAATAATCTCCCAGAGGAAGCCCCAAGCATCAATAATACGCAAGATGCAGTTGATAACATAGACCCAACCGAAAGTCGTAATATTTTGCACCCTGTTTTTTCTGTAGATAGTAGTTATGATAAAAATAAAGCAGATATAACTTTAAATAAGTTAGTTGATAATTTTAAGAAATTTGAGGATAGCCGTATTGTGGTATCAACAAAAATCCCTGTTTCATCAGAAGACAAATCTTTTGTCGATTTTTATAATGAATATCGTCAATCTTTATCTTATAATGATGATGAAATTGAAATAATGGATATTGAAGAAACTTATGAAGTATTCGAAGAAAACGGTAAAAATAGAAAATCGATTGAAAATAATCATTCTATTGAACTAGACAACCGTGCACGCTCACTTAAAGTGCAAAAAACAAGTCTTCATGTGAATCATGATGATTATGATTCTGATTATTTTAATCATGGTGGAAATGATGTGAATGATCATGACGAGGACGATGACTCTCATTCCGAAACCGAACAACCAATTTTATTGGAAGAACTTTGTAGCGAATATTATTCTGATTCGTTAGTTTCTGTGAATTTGAATCATCTTTGTTAGATGGTTCCTGCCGTGACCTTGACAATTTTCTTGAATCTGATTTTCAAGAACCGGATCAAATTGTTGATACAAAAAATATTTCCATGCATTTAAATAGGTGTCCTCAATTCACGGAGGAAATTAAAAATAATGCTTCTAAATCACAATATCATGTAGATAATGATGATGTAAGAGGTATTGTAGAAATAGATTTCTTTTCCGATGAAATCATGATAATGTTTGAAGAACAAGCGAAGTGTCGACCCGAACAAAGCCTCTCCCGGACTGGCGTCAATGTCCGAACGAACACGCGTGCGTAAACCCAGCATGACTACTGGCAAGATGCGCGTCCACCCTTCGCTGCTTTCAAAGCACATGAGTGCTGACTTAAAGTCGCGATGCCAACGCTCGAGTATCCTGTTTGATTGCGGGGGATAGGGAGTCGTTCGTATTTTATTGATTCCCAGGAGCTTGCAGAGCTTCGGAAAAATTTCGTGCTAAAATTGCGCACCCTGGTCTGTGGTTACAGTTTCGGGCACTCCATAGCGTGCGACCCAGTGTCGATAAAAGCTCTAGCTACCGTGGCAGCCTGCATACCAGCTATGGGGACTGCTTCTGACCAGCGTGCATAGCGATCTATCATTGTTAATGCGTGTGAGAGGCCTTGACTGGGTACAAGGGTAACTATGTCCCAGTGGACGGGTTGAAACTCTCGTCTGGGATAGGAAAGATCGCAGGTACCATCTTTGTATGTCGAGTTATTTTTGCTTGTTGGCAGGGCAAGCAGTGTTGAAGGCGTATTGCAGAGGCTTATAATCACAATGTACAGAGAATTCGCTGTAAACTCCAAATCATACAGCGCATATTTTCTTTGACCAGGCGGGAATTTTTTGCTAAAGAAACCAAGGGGTTGCCAGAGTGAGTTTGTGTCCTGCTCTAAAACTGCATCTGCAGCGACAGTAGAAGCATCAGTGACTAATCGAAAAGTATTTTCGACGTTTATTTTCTTTTCGCGATCATCCTTTTTAAAGCTACTACATGCGTATCATTTATTTTTGGACTTGTTTCTCTCGACCTGCTGCATCGCCATGTTTTCTTCGAGAATGACGTTTTTAATAAAATCTATTTGTTGATATTTTAAAAATAGTTTAGAAAGAAGACATTTATGGCCGAGGGGCAAATTAACAGTGAAGAGCATGATTTTAGAACCACAATGATTCTTAAAGACGTAAGGAACCTTTGGGTCAAGTTGGGCCTCGAAGTTGAAACTTCGGAATTTGATAGTTGATAACACTCATAATGTTCTCCCGAAATTTTAGCATCGATTGTCGAATGAGTTGTTGTATGATTTAATATCAAAAGTACACTTTTTAACATGGAAATCATAGGAAAGCTCAAATTTTTCATACAATTTTAAGTGAAACTTTAGGTCAAAATGGGAGATCGTGACCAAATTTCGCATAATGAAAGATGAAATCATTAGCTTTCAAATGGTATCGGTTGTATTGCATATTCTCGAGCATATTTCAAAGTAATTTTATAAAAATAAAAAAATTTCGTATTTGTTTTACATGCAATCTAACTCGAGAAGTTAGCAGCAGACAAAGATACGCGTGATAGCATATGTATTGGCTTTGAGCCTATGATACCACCGACCCACCTAGTTAAATCAAGTATCTACCTTCCGATGTTTCTTGATAGTTGCTGATTTGAACTCGGTTGCGTCTCCAACGTCCTTAAAAATTTCTTGTATCGGAATTCAAAAAAGTATTTTCCCATGGTGGGAAAATAATAAGTTTCAATTTTCCAAGTTGAGAATGTCGGCAATTGACGTTCATCGTTGCGACGTCAGCAAACAGTGAACGCTGTTTTTCCCATGCTGGGCAAATAATGAGCTTCAACAGAGCCAGCTCACCGAAAATGCCAAAATACTATCATTCTTGTACGAAAATTGGGAATTGTAATTTTTAATAATATCAGCAGCAACTTGTAATTAATAATTTTACGATTAATATGGGATTTTGTTGATCAATTGTACATAGCAGTGCACTTATCTTGGAAGGACTCGTGTGCGTATTTTAAAAAATGATTGATTAATATTTTTATTTCACAATTCAAGTGTAGAGGAAGTTTTTTCTTGGCCTGGCTTAAGTTTTTCCGTGAGAATATAACATAAATATTTGATGCACTTTTTCGATGTAAAATTTAAAATGATTATCAAATGAGAATAAATTTTGTTTTTTTCTTTATAAATGAGGCAGTTGGATTTTCAAAATTGAATTTTTATAAGCGTTCCGATATGTTATAACAAATTTTTACAATGAATCATTTGAGCTGGAGTCACTTTAGTTGTACTTAATTTTTTTAATATTACTGATTTTTCCCTTAAAGCGCCTATATGAAAGTATCTATGTGATCGAACCAGCGACTATTTGCACGACATATTTTGTCATAAGCTCGATGCATAACTTTATATAGCGCTGCAAATGCACTTATGACCATAAACACACAAAGGAGGTGATAATGCTTTTAACTGCTCATTTAGTAGGGCAAAACTCGAAAGCATGGCAACCCAGTTGAAAAAAATTGCGTGGATATCCACGTGGATTATCCACGCTGATTCCACGTGGATCATACAGGGATTCCTTGAGGATGGGACATTGATTCCACGTGGATCGAACATGGATCATATAAAGAGTCCACGTACGTAAACCACGGGGATTTGCACGGAAATCCTCGTTGATTTTCGATCGATCCACGGGGATTTTCGCGCAAATCCTCGTTGATTTTCGATCGATCCACGGGGATTTTCGCGGAAATCCTCGTTGATTTTCGATCGATCCACGGGGATTTTCGCGCAAATCCCCATTGATTTTCGATCAGTCCACGGGGATTCTCGATCGATCCACGGGGATTTTCGCCGCAAATCCTCGCGGATATTTCGAGCGCGTGCCCGCGAACAAGTTCCACATCCACGAGGATTGAAAAAAAAATCAGCTTGGATCAGTCGAAAAACCGTGGTGATTCGCCGTAGATCCTCGCGGATGTTTCGAGCGCGTGCTCGCGAACAAGTTCCACATTCACGAGGATTGAAAAAAAATCCGCGTGGATCAGTAGAATATCCGTGGTGATTGCATTTTTTTCAGCCCATGATCGATCCACGAGGAATCCCTGTATGATCCACGTGGAATCCCTGTACGATCCACATGGAATCCCTGTATGGTCCACGAGGATTACTAATCCTCGTGGATTTCCACGTGGATATCCATGCAATTTTTTTCAACTGGGAAGTACTCAAAAAAAGCTCGGCTCGATCAAGTCAAGCTCGATCTAGTACTCGCGCACCCCTAATTTCAAATATATAAGAAGAAAAATTAGTGCAATTAAACTGACAAGGAGAGCCTTTCATCTCCGGGTCACCAAATGTCCTGAAAATTTTTTTAGGTCCATTGGGGAGGACGAGGATTTTTTATATTGCCAAAAAATTTTTGCGATTTTCCAAGTCGAGAAAGAAGCACTTAAACGAAAAAATGCAAAGAACAAACAAGTTTATAAATTTTTCAAAAAATCTGCCTGTACTTTTTCAGAATTCTGAGGACCATCTATCACCTTTTTTAAGAATTCCTAAAATTTATAAAAAAAAAATGTCAAGTTTGGACCTCTCGAATGAAGTCCCAAAAATTTCGAAAAAATACAGGCAGATTTTTTAAAAAATTTTAAAACTTGCATGTTATTTGCATTTTTTTAGTTTAAGTGCTTCTATCTCGACGTACAAAATCGTAACGATTTTTTGACAATATAGAAAATCCTATTAAAAATGAACCCCAAGGCCCATGAGTTTAAACTAAGCATACTGAGCTTCATGATTAAGTACCAGGAGACCACAAAAAAATTTTCAGGACATTTGGTGACCCGTAGATGAAGGGCTCTCCTTGTGAGTAAGAACAACAAATAATATTGACATAAATCCATATATATTTTTTTCATATTTATTACAAATATTAATCCTTTACATTAACATTTAAAAGTACGTAAATAAAACGAACGTTTAAAAAATTAAAAGTTTTAATTTTGGGCTTGCTTCGCCTTCCCCAAGATGAAATAAAATATGCTTTCACTTACTTGTTAAGAGAAAACTAAAGAAACATAAATATATTTATATATAAACAGCATATTTACAAAAGTACAAAAAAGCTTTTATAAAACATCAACCTCTATTCTACACAACGCTCAACTATCTTAAGAAATATTCGTTTTTCTTTTTTATTCGATTACATATAAAGATTCACGATCCACGTTTCTAAATTTTCTATCCTAAGCTAAGTAAATTACTGAAATCAATTATTAATTTTATTCTCGAATGATATACATTCAGTGACCTTCTAGGAATTGTTTTTGAAAATAAGAAATACTGTTCTATTTCATTAATAGTTTAAAAAATTAGGCTGTGATCGTATTCTACAGTTAATTTTAGATACATAGTACGTCTGAAAAACAAAGTCATTACAAAAAATGATAATTTAAAATATCGATCAAATACCTTAAAAAATTATAATTGAGTTTGAATTTTTTTTAATTTTTCCTTTTATTAAGGAGATGGTGAAGTCATCTCAAAAATCATTTTTTCAATCCTACTTTTAAAACTTCTAAAAAATCCCTGGTAGAAATCGAACATTTTTTTAGCATTAATAAAACGTTTTTTAGAATATTTATCGGCCAACTCACCGTATTGGTCATTTAATGGACAATAAATGGTCAAGAAAACGTTTCATTGATGTTCTGAAAGATTAAATTTCTACTTTGTTACAATTTTGATTTTTTTATGGCTTCGTCATCCTCTTTGTCAACGTTTATAATGAACCAAAAAAGAAGTAAAACCAATTTATTATTTAATTTTTCTATCGTGAAGAGTTTATTTTCGTGGTTGAAGATTACTTTAGAATCGAATTATTAATAAAAAGTAATATTTGCTCTAAAAATTCATACATTTTTTGCGCTCAAAAAAATTTTTACAAATTTATTCCTTTTATGTTTTTTAATTATCTAATTATAAGCATTAAGAGTCTAAAAAAAAGATTAAAATTCTTCTAAAACTTAGTTATAACTTTTAATTTAATATTTCATATAAACAAAATGTACAAAGGAATAGAATATTCAATGATAGAAAAACATCTTTTTGAATGACATCTAGAAAAAAATTTAGATTCACACAGAAAAAACATGTCGATAATTATAATTAATAAAAATGTCCTAAAATTAAAAATAAAGATGTATAATTCGTTCTAATAGTCATTATTAACATAAAATTAAGTTCCATAACTCGAATCGATGCAGGTCAGTCTTGAGAAGACAAAATGGAAAAATTGCTTCCACATGAAATATTTAAACTTATAATGTAAAAGAAGAGTACTAAATAAGATCCGTTTTACATCAGGTGATAATAGTTTACATTTTAAAATTAAGTCATAATCAGAAATATCAATCGAGTTGCCTTGAGAAAAATTCAATGTCGTTCTCTTGAATCTTCTCTATGTGCGCTGTGGCGGCGAGATTCTTGACTGATGCTACCACTGGGAGTCACAGGTCTACGTTTAGATCGTTTGAATTTTGCTATGTCCTCACCAAATACGTCTCCAGTTCTCAAGGCAGATATTAAATCATCAAATTCTCCTTTATTATCTGCATGGCCATTTGTGTTGTTCGCTTCATTCTTCTTATTCAATGAAATATTATTCAGAATACCTTCCCGAGAGTTTTTGCGTTCCATTGTACGTTTTTTCAGCTGTTGATATATGAAACATAAATAATTTTTGATTTTTAAAGTTAAAAGTTCATAGTTTTTTTGCATAAGATTTTTGCACCAGTAATACTTGTAAAAAATCGTATCGGATAAAGTGAGTTAAAAAGTCAAAAATTTCTCCTCGCAATTAATTGTACTGATTAACATTCGTTTGCTTAAACCCCTAAGAACCTAGAGCTTAAATGACAGCGTTGATACTATCAATAGACTTCATTGATGTAAGTCATCAAGATACTTTTCTAAATTCGGTTACAGTGAATACCAACTACTGAGGCACTCATAAAGATTATGTAGTGCAGCACCAACGAATGATAAATTTAATATTATTTTCTATGCATTTCTGCAAGAATAAGATTTGGTTTTATGTTCCTTTAAGATTGAGTGATTTTAGTATGTGTTCGTGTACTTATGTGTGTTCTTTGCGTATGTGGGTCTTTTTCCATCCAAAGACATGTCCTTAGTACCTTTTATTATTTAAATGAGCCCAGTCGACACCTGAACTGACTGATCATTACAAAGCTCTGTGCCGCATGAATCTGAATGGAATTATTGACCATTTTCCACTTAAGTGGGGCAGATTTGCAATTAAATTATTTAATCAATCTACCAGTCCCAAAAATAAGCGCTGAAAAATAGTATATTTCTCAACTAGTGTTTCATATGGTTACACATAACACTTAGTCTCACATATAGTTTTTTAGAAAAACAAAAAATTATAGCACGTAACGAGTTTTGTTAAAAAACCATGTCTGCACCCGTTGATGATACTTTTTTTCCTACGAGAGTCTAACATTAGCGGCAAAGTTGCGTATTTTAGGTTCGAGTGGTAAAAAAACTATTTTTGAAATTTTTTGTGTATTTTAGTATTTAAAAAAAACTCCTAGCTTTTTCTTAAAATTCTGTTTTATTTAAGGGGACCGACCTGTGTTAAAATATTAAATTCAGCTTCAGCTTGAAATAGCTATATAAATCGAAATAGTGGAAATTTTTTTTTGAGATAGTAAAATATGTTGATTCTCCACCGGATTGACAGAAAAAAAATTTCTACCCAAGCTTTGAAATGCCAATTACGCCTATTTTTATATAATACTAAATATTATAACGGGATTCACTTGCCACGCGATTCTGACGTGAGCTCTTCATCAATATTGTTCTATGGGGTCGCAAAATCTTCAGAAAGAAGTTTTTTTTTGGTCAATCAGGTTTCTAATGAACATATTTTACTATCACGAAAAAAAATTCCACTATTTCGATTTATATAGCTATTTTTTTAATTTAAGCTTTTAACACAGGTCGGTCCCCTTAAGAGGAAAAGAATATTATTACAAAAATTTCAAGGTCTCAAGGATCAAGAATGGTCAAAGATTCCATTTAGATTCATGTGGCACAGAGCTTTGAAATGATAAGATGATAAGTCAATAAAATTCAATAAGTTAATACCTAATATACAGTACAAGTAATAATATACAGTAAAGTATAAAATTAAGTTACAGGTAGGAAAGCCTGCTCACAAAATAAATGCACAAAATGATAAAATAATGTATAATTTAATTTACCTCTTGTTCTTGCTTAGCACGCCTTTCGTCTTCTTCAACTTTTCTACGCATATTCTCAACGTCTTGTCTTGCTTCCGTCAAAGCCTGAAGAAAATTTTCAAATATTCCAAAGAACTCGTCGGGTTGAATCCCAGCTGAATCCTCGCCAAATAATCTCACGGCTCTATCAAACTAAAATTTAAATATTGAAATATTTCATTAAATAATAAAACTGAAAAATTATTTCTTCATTATTGATCTTACTCTGGTTTTCATATCTTGGAATAAATCTTCTGCTTCAGCGAGGCGGCAAGTAGCTTGAGCTTGAAAATCGCGCATTGCTGGCAAGAACATATCACCCTGGAGCACTTGAGCTTGCCCGCGATGAAATTCTGTAACATAAATTGTATTTTTATGTGACAAATGGGAACAATAATTATGTATTTCAAAAAAATGCATATTTCTTAGTTCTAACCGATTTCTCTTTGAACATCCTGTAAACCGTTCTTAAGATTGGCCATCTCTTTTTGCAAATCTGCCATGCTGACTCTAGCTGCAGTTTTCACGTGTGGCAGATCTTCTTCGAGGTCTAACACATCTTTAAACCTTGACTCGAGCATTTGCACCAAGTAATGCAAAAGTGTGGTCCCTTTGGCGCTGGATGATTTTGTATCTACTAGTCGATTGAGTGAGGCCAATCTAAAGCCACAAGCATTACCTCGAGCATTGCCTCTATTCACATAATTACCCAGTGCTAGAACTAATTCTAAAAGTTTTCGAAGCCTTCGTGATCGTGCCACCTGACGAGAACCTTCCAAGACTGCACGCATGCGAGGCGTAAGCTCGGAAATGCTGGCGGCAAATTTCTTCTTGTAATGCAGTGATCGCAGCCGCTGCTCGTAATGTGGTACTCTGTTAAGAAAGATGAGAAAAAATTTTAATAAATGGCATATTAATTCAAATAATAAGTTCGAATCAGCTCGAGCAGTGTGCTAATTACTCACTGATTAAATTTACCAATTTTTGACATGACGTTATTCAGCATTTATCGATATAATATATTATATATTATTATTTATTTAAATCCAACAACTATTCGATAAACTTACTTTGATATTTGATGCAAAAAGCAGTCTGCTCTACTCTGAAGATCTTTTTGATGCATATCCAAAGATGCAGCTTCCTCAGATGACGGAATGTATTTGAGCAATTGTTCAACCATATCAATATGTAAAATGTTTTGTTGGTCCATTGATAGAATCGTTCGAGTAATTTCGCTATCAGACATTTTTAATTTTGAGAGTAAAATGGTGCAATTTTGAGCGCGTCTTGCATCAATGACAGACATTGACTTTTTATTTTTTCCGAGATTACGTAAGTCTTCGATCGAACCTTCGGCTGACACACCGTTTCGTTGATGTGCGCAGAATATTTTATCGATTGATTCTAAATCCATAATATTGTAAAGTTTTGATTCATCAAGTTCAGACCATATTGTGCCTTGGACTTTTTGCTCTGGTATTTTAGCCCAGTTAAATGATTTTAAAGGATTACTTGGTTGTGGAACGTTCTTTATTATTTCCATCTGCAAAAATTATAATTAATCCAAGACTAGTACAAAGTCATTGTAAGTATTGTATGCCGTTTTACCTTCATCGGAGGCGGTGGAACTGACATCATCAATGGCGGTGGAGGTGGCGCTAGTGGCGGTGGTGGTGGTGGTGGAGGTGCTGGTTTTGCTTCAACTTTTTCCAAAACTTCATCTTCTATTATTTTTAATGTGGCTTTGGCATCATCCGGTAAACTACCAGAAGCCACTAACTGCTCCAAACGTTTACGCTCAGATTTTTCATTGTTCACTTGGCGCTGTAGAGATTCCACGTTATCTTGCAGTTCAGAAATGCGTTGCTTTGTTTCAATATGTAGCGATGTTTCTTTCTCTAGGCGCTCCTTAATTCTGACTAAGCTGGCCTCTATGTCTTCCTACGTAAAAAGTTTAATATTTTTCATTAAAGGTCACAAAATTATTTATTTCTACGTTTATACCTTTTCCTGCGTTCGTAAATCAAGCTCTTGCTCTTTTTTTGCTAATCTGCTTGACATGTCTGTGTTTTCTTTTTCGAGCTCGTCAGCTTTTTTTCGAGCAGCAACTAGCTCTTCTTCTTTAGCCAATAAATGTACGATTTCTTTCACGTTAATTTCAATAGGTGCAACATCCGGGTTTCTCGTCTTTCCTGGTTCATTTCCTTCTGATTGTAAAACTATTTGTTGAGCTATTCGATCGAATAACAGCCAATGTTGCGGATACGATCCATAGTCCACTATAAAATCAAATAAATTCAGAAATTAAAAAATCGAAAATGAAAGTTCATTTTAAATGAGTGGTAAATTCTTACGTGGCAATAGCAAGCAATGCTCAAGCAAGCTTAACAAATGTGGATATGCTGCAGTATGACTGAGTTTTCGTCTCAAAAGATCAAACATTGCAGTTGCACTTTTAGTATCAACGTGCTCTTTTTCGAATTTCCGCGCCAACTCTTTCTCATCTTCATTTCGCACCATTTCGAAAAAGTCTAAATGCCGATCAAGTGTCTCGTTTTCATATTTTCGTAATTTTTCGATGATCGGCTGAATACCTAACATCAATAATTCGTACCTCAAATGTAGTCGAAACTCTAGAGTAACTTGACCAGGACCGTAATTGAGAACAGCATTTATGAAAGACATAATTGCAGTTTTTAAGGATAAATTATCTTTATAAATGCCAAAATTTTTATCAAGATCGTTAACTATTGATTGAAAACGCGTTCTTTCAGAATAATACTGTTGAAAATGCAACATGGCTTCGAGAACTTTTCGATGTCCACCAGGAACAAGACATACAGCACCGAGAATCTCAAGGACGGCAATTTTTGTTTTAATGTTTTCCGTCGCTAGTGATTGAGATATTGTGTTGATAGCTGTTGGATGAGCCAATACATGAGCTCTACCATTCTGTGATAAAAAAAAAATTGCGTTAATACTTTTATATGTAGATGATAATTACAGAAGAGCTAAATAATCATTTTTACGGAATTGTTCATCAGGGCTTTCAAACAGCCAATGACGCTCGTGTGAAGATTGCTATTTGCTACTTCGACATCCATTATTTCTAATATTTGCAATAGCGAATGTAAACCATCTAATTCGATGAATCTAATGACAAAACTGTGAGGTTGCGTTCGAAGGGCTGTCTTTAAAGCTTCAACGTGCTGCGTTTGAGTGGTCACTTCCTCTGCGTCTTCAGTGTTTGGATTCTGAAATAATAAAACGGGTTTTAATCATATTAGCAATGAAAAATGATTGAATATTTATTGATTTTCAACTTCCGTAATAGTATCACTTTATTGAAACACTAAGGGCATGGAATTGTTCGTTAATTAAAAAAATAATAAAAATAAACTCTATGATGAGATCGTTTCAATCAACCCTAAAAATCGTTTCTCAATTCTGAAAGATTTGCCTATTTATGATGAAATAACATTAGGTGATACAGATATCCAACATTTACGTATTTTCTATTCCGATAAAGAATTGGAATTCATTATGATTTTACTTACAGAAGCAATATTTTTCAGTCTATTAATGTAGTCTTCTGGATCACCACTAAGATCGGTCGTACGAAGACCTCCGTTATCAAGACCACCTGCACCCTTTCGCGAACAATAAATTTGCCATTTTTTGTTCGCTGGCAGTGCTAAAACTGCTTGACGATTGGCTTGAGTAAGATCAAGTTCTTCAACTAATTCCAGAAACATCTTGTTGAGCTCCTCTTCGACGGGCATGGGCAGTGTTGGGGTCATCGCTTGAAGCGTGAGCGTGCCCGTCTGCTCAACCACGCAGTACGTAATCTCTGGTGGCTCGTCATCCTGTTAGACAAAAGAAATGTATGTTAGATACGATGAGGATTTTATAACTTTCTTAGATTTAACTATAATTTTTTTGAGTTTCAAGTTTAGAATAAAGAAAAAGAATGCAATTCGATGAGGGTGTAAATTTACTCTAAAATTTTATAATTAAAGACTACTTGTGTACATAAAAAGCGGAGCACAAAGTTTTGAGATTCAGAGTAATGAAAATATTTACCAGTACCAAACGTCACATTAATTATAGCACGTATTTAAAGTAAAACAAAATAGGGGAGGGGGAAGTAGCGGCAAGAATTATGAAAGTGTAGCATGAACCTATTTTACTATTGTATAAAAAAAAGTTCAATTTTTTCGATTTATAGAACTATTTTTAAATTCCAACTTGAAACATCGGTTTTCCCCTTTAATGAAAAATTAAAATTGTTTGTTAATGCGAAAACTATTGCATAATTTTAATGTGATTATTAACAAGTTTTTCGCTTTATGATTAAGATTTGTGGACACAGATACAACTCAAATTATTTATGTGACTATTTTTGAATTTCAATTCGAAATACCAGTTTGTCACATTAAATTGTGCTAATTATTCTTTTGTTATTAATATACTCGATGTAACATTCATTTCAAGCAATGCAATTTGTTGAGATCAAAAAAGATATTTGAATCTTTGTACTTGTTTGTACAGGGGTTTGAAGATTTTTTCAATGCATTTTAAAACGTACTTAACGTTTAAATGAGAAATTTTTCATGCAAACTAGTGTAAATAAGAAAATTATTGCTATTTTATAGTTTCCATTATGGTTTACAGCTACACACAATACGATCCAGTTGAATTTTATGAACAACAACATAGTAGTGAAAGTAAATCCGATATATTATCATTCGAGTTTTATTGTGAAATAGTCCTATTCTGCAGAAAGAGAATTGCTAAGCCTCGTTTTTAAATGATTTTGATTTTCGCACCTCATTATTACGCGGAAGAGAAATCAAACTTAGATCGTAAATAAGTGCTTGGTTAAAAACTTTCGATTGAAAGAGACTGAATTAACTTTACGAGTATGAAATAGCTTAATGCTAGTATAAGTCACTGATGTTGGTATGCAACTAAGTTTTTTTGTTAAAAGCTAAAGAGTTCTTTATAGAATGTGATGTGTCATAGTAATAGATTTGAGTTGTTACCTTGTCTTTGTTTGACATTAAATTTTAAGGACAAAGAGAATTTTTTTTGGATAAATCAAATTCACGTGCTTCACATACCTGAAGGCATCCACAGAAAGACTTCTTAACCCTGGATGGCATAGTTTGACAGCGTCCCACAAAATCCTTAAGAGGCTGGGGACTGTGAACCTTGACAGGACAATTTGGGATTCTCTGCAAAATAAAGGAAATAACTTATTTAATTTTTCATCTAAAGAAGCATGTATGATACAATTTTCAATAAATATATTTTCAAATATTTGATCATTAATTATGAAATAGACAATCGAGTAAGAACAAACAGTCACAGTCAGTGCGACGATCAATTGAATGGATAAATTGAGAATTGACAAAATTAACCCGAAAAGTAAGATGTCTTTCAAGGTCATGAATTTAGTTTTAAGCTCTTAACTTTGATCATTGTTATTAGGTATTAACTTAAAGTTGACTAAAATATTTTCATCCGCGTCATATAAGAACGTTAAAAATGATTATTTATGTATCTAATTAATAATATTTATTTATTTATAATTTTATGGGTGCAAAAGTAGATGAATAAACTCTGAATGAATTATGTGACCGAATTAAATATCTGCGGTTATTCTTTTTAAGGTCAAAGATTAACAACATGAATTCTGAAGTACTATCAAAAATATTTAAAAAAATGTTTTTGCATATTAAAACATCGATGAATTGTGATCGATTTGAATAAAATTATTTAAAGATTTTAATTTTACATAAATTGATTTAAAAGTTATTTTTTATAACAACATTGAAATATATTATTTCCAAATTTATTCTTGGAACTTTGAATTGAAAATTGTTTTTAGTTTTTTCGTTGAATAATCAATATCCTTACCAATCAATAGCGGACTGACAAAAATTAATTCGGCTTGCGAACTTTAGCGTTCGATGAAAAAAAATTTTTACAGACAACTGCTGCAGTCTCACAGGCTAAAACCATACTCACGCACTCATTTTGCTGTATTGGAAATAAGATTTCTCACGCGCACTCGCGATGTCAACTTTACGGCCCCGATCGTTGCTCACGACTATGTGCCGATCTACAATATACGATTTGAGATACACGCGGTTAGTAAGAAAAAAAAGAAGGAAAAAACGACACGCAGCCAGAAAAGATCAAAGCAGCGTGTAGAGCAACGAGGCCAACAGAAGTTACTAACATATACAGAGTTACATACAAATAATATAAGCAAACACAAGCACAAATATTGGTGTGAATCGAGATCGAGTATAGGCTCACTTATAATCAATCTAGGCATTATACTCGCACACATTTGTGTAGAGACATTTGAGCGTGCGTGTGTGTTCGGATGCTTATCGTTCTTATCGTGGTGTCACTCATGCTCGTGTGTCTCTTGATTATAATACGGTTGCGCCCGTATGGCTCACATTTTTATTACTTTCTTGCCTTGGTATAGCCACTGGCTCTCCGCTTCAATTTACCCGCTCTATCTTTCTCTAGACTGTTTGTGCGCGCGTTTTCCAGCGTGCGAGTGTGTACATGTAGAAGTCTTACTGCCCTGCTAGCCGGTGTACCGTGCGTGACCTTGTCTCTTCTCATCGGCATTCCTCGTGGCCTGCAGCCTCAGCGGAATTATATCGATTACCTTGTTCGACGGCATTGATTAATTAGCTACTGTGCGAGCGCGTTACAACAAAAAAATCGATGCTTTTACACGATCTAACTAGGCGCTTATCAGCCGCGCCGTACAAGCTGCCGCGTCGCGACCATTTCTTCTCTTTGAAGCAGCTTGTAATTTATAGTTTAAATACTTTTTGGACCCGAGCCATGTTAATGCGTGCAAATAGTTGCTAGCGCCTGTGCATGCGTTCGTGCGTGCGTGCGTGAGTGAGTGCGCGTTGCCTTTTTTTATCACGCGGCAGCAGCAGCAGCTCCGATAATACCGCGAGCCGCTGCCGACGAGACTCGCCGATGTATCCCGCGAAGAAAACACGCAAGAAAGAGAGCAAACGCGAGCATGTAACCAGTTTGCAATTTAATTCGTTAGCTTTTCGGAAACCGGAGCATGTAATTGCGGTATATAAGATTATTATTGCTTCTGCTGAGCGCTTCAACGGTGAGATGAAGCAATTAACCTCGATTTTTGCTCTTCCGATAAAAGTGTGGGTTTCTCATAATGTAATTTATATAATGTCTGTGCACAAAATGCATGTCTGCGTTTGTTATTATTATTTTTTTTTTTCAATGCAAATATTGATCGATTATAATGTTATCAAAGTGCAAAAAAGCCATTACTTGGCTCTTAGGTTTCGAGGCGAAAGTATATTTTGAAAATCTTTTCCTCTAAATATGTCTATAGATCTACATGCATACAAGAAAATAAGTGACGGCAAGTTGAGGGTTTTCACAAAGACTCACCAATTCTTTATGAACCATGTTCGTGTGCTTTATGTGAAAAAACGCACACGTGTTTATCACACTTTTACATGTGTACACATTTTTCAGTTAGTCGATATTTTCTTTACGTGCAGCCAAGAATAAAAGCCCATAGATCGAGTGGGTAGACCGCAATTAGTTATCTTACTGACCAAGGTTACCAATAATGAAGGACTAAATTTTTTTAGACTTATTTATCATTCGATTTAACTGGCAAATTCAACGAAGCTTGGCTATTGCATTATAAAATGTAGACGTCGTGAAATGTACATTAAGCGAACAAAAACCAATGCGTGAAATAGACTTGCAATCATTGAATCCGAAACTCATTGTTTAATGTTGCGTCTCATGCAGTTCATTTTAATCGTAGATAATAACGCTAGATGAGAAAATGATATATGGGAACAACAATCGATTTATGATGATTGGCTTCATTCGTGGACTTTCTTTGTGGCGCTTATATAGCTCGCGAGTAGAACCTATGGATATATTGCACTCTGCGAAAGTTGTTTTCCTTTGGATTACGTCAATAGGAATTCCCTTTGTTTAGAAGTCGAAATTATTTTTTGGGATACCCGCATATATGATATGCAACAAGAGACGAAAGAGATTTAAAACGAACTATATGTATGCACAGTTTTGAATGACAATGTTTATGTGCCAGGCGTATACAAAAGCACGTTGCTTTACGACACAAAAGTTATTATAATACTATTGAATAGAGTTATTCATCATATTAGCAGTGTTTGGAAGATTAAAAAACAAAAAGTGCAAAATAATAGGGTGATTTCATTCTCATTTGATCTCTGTCGCTACAGGAGAAATTAGTACGTTCATTACATTCGAGGTAGTTTCTACCACCTTGTGCGTATACCTTATTTAAGTTACACTCTATCGTTTAGCAATATTTTTTAAATGAAAAAATGTCAACTATGCAAATTTCGTAATTAATTCTATCAAAATTTTATTTTTCAAAGAAGAAATTAGTATATGAGTTATAGGAGTGAAGTTTTTTGATACACTGGAAGAGGCAAATAAAAATTAAGGCCTATATAAATTTATAAGAAGATTATAAAAAGATTAAAATGTTTTTTAAGAGAACATCCCTGTATTTGGATGGATAACCAAGGATATCCTTTCTACTATTAAAATCATATCTTTGGCGAAAAATCGGTAAAGTATCTGTCACTATTTTCGTTTATTGTTGGTATTCGGCCTTATTTTCGCTCGAAATTGATAGTATATTTTTCAACAGGTGCAGTTATGGTTTTATTGAAAAACCATATCTGCACTATAGTCATCAACTATAGTTGATGATATTATTTTTTCCTACGAAAACTTAAAGTTAGCTATAAACTGGTGTATTTTCGGCTTTCATAGGAAAAAAAGTGTGATCAAAATTGAATGATGAAAGTTTAATATCAGTATTTAAATAATAAATTTTTGGTAAACATATTCGGTTCATACGAACTATCTTTTTTTTTTAATTTTTTTTAGTACAATTAAATCGCTAATCCTATCCCATAAGAGTGGTGAGGTTTTTAGCGTGAGCAGTTTATAAGCGCTGCGATTGGTTGTTCAGTAGCTTGCAATTGTTTAGTGACTCGCAAATACGAGTGTTGTAGTAAGTTGAGAAAGTTGAGAAACCTATTGACGGCTTAAGACTAATTTTCGTATTTACAGTTTATAACATAATCTTTGTTTATCTTATTTTACAATTTTAATTATTGAAAAATGGCAAAATGGGATAAGAAAGAAGAGAGTGCGCGCTGAAAGTCGGGCTAGTTTTCTTTAATTTTGATCATGACTCTTGATGCTATTTAGTTTGATTTTTGAAAATAATTCTGTAAATGTGGAACAGCATACTCTTTCGCGTACCTCTTCTCAAACAGGACATATCTAAGTCTACACTGATTGACAAGCAAAGAAAGTCTTTCTAATTTATATCATGGTCAAACGATCGATGTTTATAAGATTCTTGGCTACTTGTAGTTCGAATTATACTTTGCTCTGAAATACCGGCACGAGAAAGTCCCAGAAATGCAAAATGCATTTCTTGATGTGCCATATTAATGATTTCATAAAAACGTGTGAGGAAGCACTTATGTGTATTGCATGCTAATCAGATTAAAATCTGTATGTTGCTCTGAGCATTCATATAAGTATTGATTGCGTCCTTTCCGAACGAGCTTATTGAGTCTTAATCTGATGCGAGTTTAATTATTTTTTACAGTGGATCATTTTACCCATAAAATTTTTTTAATTGACCTATCTATCTTTCCAGCTGCGAGTAGGCTCCTCTTACCTTCGTTCATGATATGTGTACGTTTCCTTTTTTCACCAGGAAAATTGAACTTCTCAAAGAATAAAAACCATAAATTCTAGGCGGAAGAATATCCTTACCCACACATATGTTCGATAAGCTTAAGATTTTACCATAAACAATGGCGCATGACTTTCGCATGCAATGACGCCAAGTTTGTTATTTGCGTTCGTGGTTTGAAAATAATCAATTAAATTTTTAATAATGCAATAAGTCATTAATGTATAAGTTTTTCGTAATTTATATCTCATTCTATATCCAAGGAGTGTTTCATACAATATCTTAGCGATGTTATTTTTCCTAAAGAAAAGCTAATAATTCACGATTCATTGAAAGTGTGATTACAAATTGAAACAGATTTTTTTCGAATGTGAGGTTTATTAACGCATAAATAATTGATAATCGATTCGCCAATAAGTTCAAAAATGA